GAGCAAAAAAATGCTTGCCCACCACTCTCTCTCTCTTACTTTTTCAATACCCCACCATTACTTTCTCTCTCCTACACAACACTTCTTTATTTATTAATTTCATTTATATTTTAACAATATTACTCCAAATAAATAAAAACAAGTCTAAATTTGTGTAACTTATTTTTTTTTATTTGTGTCGTTTTTATCGTTATTTTTTTACAAACAAAATATCAACAACTTTCTAAATTCAATTATATATATAATTGCAACTACATTACATGAACTACATTTTTTTATTTGCAAAAAAAAAAAATCACATATATACTAATTTTAATAAATAACTGAATTTATAAAAAAAAAAATCATATTTACCTGAATATCAGTGAAATACAACAAAAATCTTCTTTTAAAATTCCGGAATATTACTTAAATAAAGAATATGGAGGATTTATGGAATTTTTGAAATTATACCAAAATACATGTCTATTTATAGAAAAAAAATATTTTATGACCGTTGGTAAATTTTTTTTTTTAATAAATATTTTTTACAGAAATTGAATTACAAAAAATATAACCGTTGCAACAGCTATATTTTTCTTATTGGCCAAGACCCTGCACATGCCACGTGGCGCTCCCAGATTGGTTCACTGACTGACGCGCGTCAGTCAGTTTCTTTATTTTTTTTTTTTCCAAAATTGCCAGCTCAAAACGCTGCGTTTTGAGTAGCGTTCTTCTTCCAAGATTGATGAAACGGTGTGTTTTGATTTATTGCCCACCAAATTTTTTTTTATTCTCGCAGCAAATTCTGGGGTCCACCAGAACACTGTTCACTTGCAAATTTGCCCAACTCTTGGGCATTTTATCAAATGCTTATGGGCATTTCTTCATTAGCCCATCATTGTAATCCATGAGCTAATTTTTTGCCCATCAAAATGCCCATGAGCATTTTTTTTCCTCACCATCGTCATTGCTCTAACAACCATAACAACATAGCACAAACATCTAAAACCAACTAACATACTAATAACTGACATGTGCCCCTTAAATTGAAAGGCTTTCCCTTAAACATTTTCAACCATAATATTAATAATTGGACCTGTAGCCCTATCCCACAGCCCATAATATTAATAATTGGACCTGCAGCCCAATCCCACGACCCATAATATTAATAATTAGCCCTATCCAATATTCAATCCTGTTTAGTACTCCGCATTTTTTTTTTCATTTCATTTCTCCAATCTTCTACTTGTATTCAATCGTTTACCGGCTTTATTTTACAAAAATTATACACTTATGACTAATTGTTCAGTACTAATTTGTCTATAGATCACTTTTTTTCTATATATGATATGATAGATATAATCATGAAATAAAAAACTCTAAATTTTTAGAGTGGTTGATATCAACAAGTGGATTTTACATCATCTTTATACATAGAATAATAGATTGCCAATAATCTTAACATGTAATCTATTATTGATGTTTTTATATGAAAAATCATGAACTACGATTTAGAAAGAAAATCAAAAAAATAAGCTATATATTTATATATTGATTCAACCGTCGGCCCCACAGCTTAAAAATCATGGCTCCGCCCCTGGCATCAAACGTATATGTTGATAAGTAGTTAGACTCTAAAATTACGCTAATGACATGCTTATAGCATTTTACTTAGTGAAGATTTCTCAAAAGCTTACTCACAATAGTTTCATAGGTGATGACACCACCATAAGTTCTCATTTGACTCACAATTTCAGAAATTCAACACAAAAACCTTTGGACATATTCTTTATCTTGCATGCATTATTGCCATGCTCTCAAAACTACTATGAAAAGTTTGTAGTTTAACAGCAATTAACTTTTTATCACCAACCTGCAACGGAAATTCGAGGGAAAATTTCATCATCCAGTGCAGAATGGATGAAATCAGGGCCTTTTTAAACATATTGTCCTCATCTTAAGACTCCATAGATTATACATTTCCCTTTAATTTTGGAATTAAGGGATGAAGGATTAGTGCCATTTTGGGCCAAGATATAAAAGCAAATATGTAAATTGCCGGTAGTAAATTTTGGTATTTTGTGGTTTCACTTCCTCAGTGTATTTCTCTCGTGTAAATTTGTATTATAATTAGTCAACAGTCAACTAAAAATAAAAAACAAGAAGTATTGTTTGGCAAGATTTTGTGAAATCCTTTTGAGATGCAAATAATCGTGCTTCTTGATCTCAATCAAAAAAGTGAACATCAGCTAAATAGCCTAAATAGGCTAAATTTACCTTAGCTTTTGTTAAGCTAGTTTTCGAAAATTCGGTCTTTAATTTGGGCGAATTTTAAGAAGAAAACAAATCTATCAGTCTGCCTAATATTAATAAATTGATTTATACTTACTAGATTTTAAATATTAGTCTATTTAGTTGGATTCTAACAAAAATCATATCCCCCTTGCTTGGTACTCCGTATACGGTAGTTAGTTTGAGATATACTACCTCCGTTTTTATTAGTTGACATCTTTCTATTATCACGCTTGTCAACGCACTATTTTAACGATTAATATCTCTAATTCTCGACATTGTAAAATTATAAAAAGTGGATATTAATAAAATATACATTGAGACAATTCAAACAAGATCCCACTTAACTATGTTTTATCGTAGTTATTAATCCCAAAAGCTAGTCAAAGTGTAGTTTATAAATAGTGTAAAAGTCAAATGGTGTCAACTTAAAAAAAAAACGGAGGAAGTATTATGTAAGTACCTTTTAATTTTGAGGTTTTAAGGTCGAATCCTTTTAACTGTGATATCCTATGATCTTACCCTTTTTTCTCAATTCAAATCCCTTGGCTTATTAATACGTAAACAAAAAAATAATAATCGTGAGAGTTAAGGTCCGTTCAGCGTAATTTACCTTACCTTTAAAAAATCCTAGATTTTGAACTTCGGTACTATCTATATCTTACACAATTCTATGACGATTTACTATCTCCCGTAAAATAAAAAAAATGATTTACTACCTCCGTTTTAAGTTACATGAAACCACTATTTGATTTATGTACAGCTTTAAAAAATTGCAACATTTGATTAAAGATGTGAGTACTTTTTAAATAAAATCTTATAATTTTTTTATGAAACGAAAGAGATATTTAATTATATGTTGAAAATTGAGATAAATCCAAAATTATGAGTAATCCCCTAAGTATAAACTGGATTGAACATGTGCTAATAATGCACGGAGTATTAAATGCAACAACATACAAAGCATAAATCTTTTGCTTTCGAAAGTTTGACTCACTTTTCATTTGGAGCTTTTGTAAAAAGATTGACTCAATTAATTAGCCCTCCACACCCACTATTCATACCTTTTTAATTTATCTCATTTTATTCATTTTTTACATTTACCCACTTTTTTTTTTTTTTTTTTTTTTTTTTTTTTTTTTTTTTTTACCCCAGTACTTTATTTATTCACTTTTTCTTTACACCTACCCACTTTTTCCATGCATCCCTAGAAACAAGAGTCAACATCGTGCAAATCGAATTTGGATCTTTTACCAAAATAGCTAATTTAACAAAAGTATTTACCACCCTTAAAAAAAAAAAAACAAAAGTATTTACCAAAACAGCTATTTATAAATTTTAATTCCAAAACTAGCTAATTAGCCTAATTTATTGACTTGGAATGGGATGACTTTCATTTCTTTATTTTTTTTCTTTTCCTCTGAACCGTTTTGGTTCAGTTTTTTTTTATTTTTTTTAAATTTTTTTTTTATTATTATTTATTAATTTTACTCCAAAATAAGTTCCATGATAAGCACTTAAAATCTGCAATACACAAAGCTGCTTTACAAAACTAAACTTGCAAGTTCAATGAGTGTATGGATACCATTGGAACCGTCAGTCAACGAGCTAGGAAACGATGGGATTCAATACCTCTAAAAAAGTGGGGCTCTATGCAATGATGAGGGGAAATGATATGGAATCACCACGATAATGGAGTATTTTATTACTCCGTAATGTTTTAAAAGGGGCTCGTAGTTTAATTTACTAATCACCACCCTTGTGCAACTTACTTTCTATCGACTTAACAAATATTTTGATGAGTGAAGAAGCTGTGAGACAATGCAATGTAATGAGCAAAAATGGTCTGACGTTGCGAATCAAAAGTTGATTTATAACGCCGAAATTGCAAACATGTTGAGACCCCAATCCAGTCATCAATGAACCATATATGGTTTGTCATCAAGAGACTATGGTTCTACTTGAGAAAGCATGGGAGATGTACCATGTAATGTTGAGATGTGTAAGAGGAGTTTAAAGGAACTAATCAAGTCTTTATCGAACAAAATTTGAAGTAAATTCAAAAACACAAAATTTGTAAAAATAAATAAAAATAAAAAAAAAGTAAAAAAAAATAAAAGAAAGAAAGAAAAACCCAAAAACAATCGGTTCAATGAAAAAAGAAAAAGGGAAAAAATTAATTTCCTTCAAAGTAAATGATTTAACTAATTTTGGAATTAAAATTTTTAAATAGCCGTTTTGGTAAATAATTTTGTTAAATTTAGGGGAATTATTGGAGTATAAATTGTCGAAACATGTAATTTAACAAAGAATCTTGGAGCTGATACATACATAATAATGTAAAGAACTTATAGACAGGTCAAACTTAGGTTCTTTTCACAAGTATACTCATACGTATAAGATTATATACAACATGTTGATTTGGTCAAACTAGAAAATGAGGATCCAAGTCTTTTGACATCTTAGATTATAGATTAGATTATAGTTTGAACTTATTAGCTAATTGCAATATTCTCTGATGTATGGAGGACGATGCTAAAACTATTTTAGATTGTTAATGAAAAGCTAACTATATTATATGTACATGATCTATAGGTTAACGTCACTTGATTATATTTCAATGCCCAAAATCATGTAAGAACAAAGAAAGGATCGGATCATACAAAATAATAATATACTTAATAAAGTTATGGAAAAATTATAAGAAAGTCCTTTTAAGTGGTCGACCTTGTGAGAAAGGTCCTTTTAAAAAAAAGGTGACACAGATCCTTTTATGGCGTTTTGGTTGTGAGGAGGGTATTTTGACCAAACTCCGGCGTTGACCTTGATATTCCGGCCATAAAATGTCGCGTGCAGGTCACGTGACCTCTTAAATGAATTTTTATTTTTTTTCTTCTTTTTTTCCTTTTCCCTCTTCTTCCTCGATTTTTTCTTTCCCCTACAATTTCCCTCCCTTATTTCCATTAAACATCTTCACATGACTAGTAGCTATCACCATTGATAGCAAATTAATGGTGAATTGCAATCTGGTAGGAGATTATCTTCCTTTTCATGAAAAGGAAGTTAAGTTAATCTCCTACCAGATTGCAGGGAAAAGGAAGTTAATCTCCTCTCAGATTGCAATTCACCATTAATTTGCCATTAATGGTGGTAGCTACTAGTCATGTCAAGATGTTTAATGGAAATAAGGGAGGGAAATTGTAGGGGAAAAGGGAAATCGAGGAAGAAGAGGGAAAGGGAAAAAAAGAAAAAAAATAAATTTCATTTAAGAGGTTACGTAACCGGCATGTGATATTTTATGGCAGGAATATCAAGGTCAACGTCGGAGTTTGGTCAAAGGACCCTCCTCACAACCAAAACGCCATAAAAGGACCTTCTGTGCCACCTTTTTTCTTAAAAGGACCTTCCTCACAAGGTCGACTACTTAAAAGGACCTTCCTTGCAATTTTTTGTTGTTCTAAAATCTGAATGTAGTATTATAAATAGGATAGAGGAGGCTCATGCAAAAGCATAAACTCTCCTTCAAATACAACATTTTCTTAAATTACTCCCCTTTTTCTCTTCAAAAAAAAAAATTAATTGTTACAAAAAAAAGCTAGAGAAAAATATTTCTTGCCAAAAGAAACAAGAATATAGTTGTATATTATTACGAGCTAATAATAATGTGGAAGCTAAAGATAGCAGAAGGAAAGGATCCATGGCTAGTGAGCATAAACGATCACGTTGGTCGACAACATTGGGAGTTCGATCATGAGGCCGGAACACCGGAGGAACGAGCTGAGGTCGAGATGGTTAGAGAGGAATTCAAGAAGAATCGGTTCAAGAATAGGCAAAGTGCTGATCTCTTGATGAGAATGCAGGTTTATACATTACCTTTGTTGTAGTTTGTACATATACACCACTAAAGTTTCAAGTAATAGTCTCTGCATTTGTTGCACTATAGTTTAAAAAATGACCTATTGACTCTAAGCATTCATTTGGCCAAATTACCATATTGTTTTTATAGGACCCTTCACCAAATTATTATTATAAAGCTCTGACCGCATTATTAATGTGTTATTAAAAATTGAAAGGGTTTCAAATATATAATACAGTAAATTTTGTTAAATTTATGCCTACAAGTCACAACTTTTTCGTTATACTTTTTCTTGTATCAAGAGGAATGTGACAAGGTAACAAAAGACATGTGATAATGTTGTAACAACAAAATATGTACAACTACATGGTTTAGTATATTTCTAGTACAAACTAAATTATGGAACAAATACTTGAACAGTTGAGAAAAGAAAACACAAGTTTAGCAATACCTAAAGGAATCAAACTGAAGGAAACAGAGGAGATAACAGAGGAAGCAATGGATACAACACTCAAGAGGTCCATCAATTTCTTCTCCAGTATACAGGCCCATGATGGTCACTGGCCCGCTGAATCTGCCGGCCCATTATTCTTCCTTCCTCCACTGGCAAGTTTATTATTATTATTATTATTATTATTATTATTATTATTACCTCTATTTCATATTTTTTGCAACTTTGGAATATTTTATATCTCACAAATAATATCCCTAAGTTGCAAAAAATATGAAACGGAAATAATATTATTATTACACATGTTGCACCTATTGTAAAAGTTGGTGTTATTCTAGCTAGCTAATACACATAGGTGGTGTTACTCACAGCACCCAAATTATAGATGGTGTTGTTAAGACCAATTTTGTCTTAAATAGTTGAATATATTACTTGTTCAAATGATGCATTGTCAAGCTTCGAAGTGAAATAGTTTTCGCTAAAAATGAAGTATCTATTATATAAGAATAACTCTTTATGTTACATATATAATAATGGAAGAGTAAACTTGCTGAACTCATTGAGGAAGGACATTGTTATTTTTTGGATGCTTTCGAAAGACAATTTTGTTTTGTGATATTCATGGAAATTCACTTTCTTGAAAGAACATCAAACTTTTGATAAATTAAACTAAACTAAGATCATTCTAGCTTGCACATTTTAAAGAGCTTCAAGCCTTCAACCATCACTACATATCAAGGACATTGAATGTCATCTTTTGGTGTAGAGAGAGCGAAAAGGCAAATAGAGAAGACAAGATTCGATCTCAAATCATGTGTGTCACCGTCAAAAGTTTAACTAACTAATCGATCTACTTAACATCTGTTGCACTAACATGTCCTATATTAATATGAATCATTAATAAGTTTCTCTCAAAAATGAAATATTTCAAATTTTCAGGTAATAGCCTTGCACATTACAGGAGCAACAAATGCAATTTTATCTCCAGAGCACCAGAAAGAAATCAAGCGTTACATCTACAATCACCAGGTTCAACAATAACTAAATTATCTCTCATATATTTGGTGAAACAAACTAAAAGTTTTACATTACAAAATGTGGAAAATATTGGCAGAATGAAGATGGAGGATGGGGACTTCACATAGAAGGCAATAGCACAATGTTTGGTTCGGCAATTAGCTACATCGCCCTTAGGCTGCTCGGAGAAGGCCCTGATGATGGCGAAGATAACGCGGTTGCAAGAGGCCGTCAATGGATCCTTGACCATGGTGGTGCCACTGCCATCCCATCTTGGGGAAAATTTTGGCTCACGGTTAGTCATTATTACATTATTAGACTTACGAATAAGATTCATAATGTATGAGGCACATAATTAATACTCCCTCCTCTTCAATTTGATTGTCCAATTTTAACCTTGCTCAGTATTTAATACGAAGCTTATACTTTTGATCATCAATATCTTTAATTATCTATCAAAAAAATTATAAAAATTTGATACTTGTATTATAAACTTCACATTGAGACAAATCTAATAATTTCTTACATGATTATATCTTTTATATATATATATATATATATATATATATATATATTAATGTGAGTTTTTTGTCAAAGTTTTGATGTTTGACTATAAAAAGTCAAAATGAGACTTTCATATTGAAACGGAGGGAGTAATCTATTATATATCGAGTGTTTGTGTATCAAATGAGCTCGTTTTATATGTAGGTGCTTGGAGCTTACGAGTGGGATGGGTGCAACCCAATGCCACCAGAATTTTGGCTACTCCCTGAGATTTCACCTATACATCCAGGTTCTACATTGGCTAAATTTAATCTTTTCTAGTGTAACATCTTTACTATATATTTGAAATGAAATAAATTTAATAAGGTTAATTTATGGAAAATTATGGTCAAAATTCAAAAATGCAGGGAAAATGTTGTGCTATTGTAGGTTGGTGTATATGCCAATGTCATATCTTTATGGTAAGAGATTTGTTGGTCCAATTACTCCACTCATTCTGTCACTAAGAACGGAGCTATATAATGAACCTTACAATGAAATAAATTGGAACAAGGCTAGAAACACTTGTGCTAAGGTAAATATATACATCCTACAACAATATGATTATTATATGTCTCATAAAACTATGAAAGTGAACATACTTAAAATTACCTATGTTTTGTACTTTTGTAGGAAGACCTTTACTATCCACATCCCTTAGTACAAGACATGGTATGGGGATTTCTTCACAACTTTGTCGAGCCAGTACTCAACCGTTGGCCCTTCTCGAAGTTGAGAGAAAAGTCGATGAAGATCGCTATGGGACACGTACACTATGAGGACCTGAATAGTAGATATCTCTGCATTGGATGTGTGGATGAATATGTTTTTGTCTTCAGAAATTCAATCCTACAGAGTTCTTTGAAGATGTTCTTATCGAAAGAGAGTAAGTTCTACATGTCATCTGTTTCATGAAAATTATATGTTAATGGAGTAACACTTAATTTAGGTTACTTGGATAGATGATTTCATATTCTGTATAGTATTCTGAGAAGTTCGTATGAGGGTTTATGATGAGAATCTATGCGTTCTAATAATATTAAATTTTTTCTTCAAGAAAAAAGAAATGTACTCAATTTTAGTGAGTAAAAATCATAAAAGGCTTTTTTTTAATTTAATGTCTCCTTTCCCTAGCTCTCATTCTAGTAGTTGGACTATTTAGAAACTAGAGGGTACATCCTAATGCACTACATATAACATACAATACATTTTAGTCTTAATTTTAAAATTTAACTAACAATCATTCCATAATTTTAATTTAGGTATGTCGAGTGCACTTCTTCAGCAATCCAAGGTTTAACACTCTTCAAGCAGCTATACCCTGGACATAGAAAGAAAGAAATTGAAAAGAGCATTGCTAAAGGGATACATTACGTTGAAGAGACACAAAACTCTGATGGTTCTTGGTAAGTTATTTCCCATTTATTGCTTGATTGATGATTATTTTTGTTTCAAAAATTTTAATAACAACATTAGTCCTGAGAAAATAATAAAATTTTCGAAAATTATCCCTTAATGTAGGTATGGTTGTTGGGGGATTTGTTATACATATGGAACATGGTTTGGAGTAGAGGCATTAGCGTCTTCTGGGAAAAACTACAACAATAGCCTTGCATTGCGCAAGGCTTGTCATTTTTTGCTCTCAAAGCAATTACCTGATGGTGGATGGGGGGAGAATTACCTCTCTAGCCCAATTATTGTTAATCAAGTAAAAATAAGTTACTTTAAAATTTATGAGGATTAACTTGTATGATTTAGTTTCAGAATATCATCTTTTTATTGAATAATTGACGTGTATGGGAATATGGAACAGGTTTACACGAATTTAGAAGGGAACAAGTCGAATTTGGTGCAAACTTCATGGGCATTGTTGTCCCTTATTAAAGCAGGATTTGTGAGTATATTTCTTTCTTATACTTTGGTCATATTGTGACTTCCACTAATCACACTCATAACACACAACTAGTCTTGCTTTGCGATGTTTCTACTAATGACACCATAACATGATTGATGTGTCATGTTATGATTGGTCAATTTTTAATTTATTTAAAAGCCTAAATGTAATATGCATGTATGTATATTTGTAAATACATGTATTTTTTTAAAGAATAAATAATTATAGTTTTTAAAAATCTATTTTTATCTTTCTAAAATCATTTTTCAAAAATTAAATTATAATTACTTAGAAAATTAAAAAAATATCATTGTTCTTCATTCATGATCTAAATTAACCATCCCCCAAAATCTTGTATAATCTATTCGCAACTCATACCAAAATTCCGACCAAAAAATTCCATCCAAACATCGAATTTATTGGGTTTCGAATTTGCTTCCATGATCCATATACAAATTTCATTTTAGAGTTCGATCGATAGTTTTGGTTTATGTAAAAATCAAGTTGTTTGATAGTTTGGAGGATGAAAATAGCCTTAGGAGCGTGTATTAAGATGATTTAAAGCACGGATCTTTCAATTTTATGAAGATCAATGGATAACGAGGGTGTACTCTGCAATTTAGAGTTCGATTTTTTTTTCGCAAACTTGTTTGATCTAGAATCGAGTTCTGCGTTTTTTTAATCTATTTGTGGTTAGGTAATTACCTATATTGTGTTAGGTGATTACCTGTATGTATTTATTTAGATCATTACCTAACCCACAAACAAGTTCGAGAAAACTTAATTACATTTATCAGATCAAATAGGGGTTGCGAACAAAAAAAATGCAACCACTTCATCTTCTACACACTTGATACTCCTTGTTCTTTGACAAAATTGCACAATTTGAGTTCACATAAATCATATTTTCAAACCATTTAAAGCGGAATTCGTCCTTTGCAAATACTTATAAATGAGGTTGTTGTTGAGATTTTTTTATGAGCAAAAACCTAAAATCAAAAATTGCAAAAAACAAAAAGCAAAAACACAATTTGTTTTCGAATTTTTATCCCGGTTTTAGTTCGGATTTACAAATTTATCAACAACTAACATAGATTTTGGGAATGGAGAGCTAATCTATGACATGATTGATGAACAATGATGAATAATTTTAATTTTTTGATTGATGAACAATATGAACAATGATGAATAATTATGTATTTCTTAAAAAAAAAATACATGTATTAAAAAAAATACATACAAAAATAAAATTTTAATACATTATGGACATTAAAAATAATTCAAAATAAAATTAAAGATATGAAATACAGGTCAATCAGATTTTACCACATCAGGAAATTATGGTGTCATTTTAAGAAAATGGCATTGTAGTTTCACTTGCCTTGTCTACATTGTTTCACCCTTACTTGAACTGATTGAAAAATTCAACTTGTGTGTCGGGCCTACTCATATATTGGGCTTATTAGACTAGTAAACTTAATGTCACATCTCCTAATGTATACCTAATGAAATAAAATCATTATGTCCATTCTAATATCACAACTCCTAACGAAAAAGCATAATGCCCATTCTAAATTTCGAATGTAAACTTTTTGATATTAATTTCTTTTATCAATAAAATAAGGGATATTATTTTAACATAACTTTTTACTTATATTATTTGCCGAAACAACAGGGTGATGTAGATCCTACTCCCATAGAACGAGGAATAAGAGTTCTAATAAACTCACAGATGGATGATGGAGACTTTCCACAACAGGTAATTTTGCAAAACTAAACTACGTAATATCATTTATTTTTCTAAATGCTAAAATAATTTGTATATTAAAAGAATGAACACTAAGAAATTTTATTCTCCGATATGAATTCCCTAATTTAAATAAAATTCTTATGTTGGGCTTTAATTTTATTTTATAAATTAGATTCATATGTTTTTTCATGCATGTTAAACTATAACAATGCCAATTTGTAATAGGAAATCACTAGAGTATTCATGAAGACTTGCACCCTAAATTATTCTTCATATCGAAACATCTTCCCCATATGGGCTCTTGGAGAATACCGTCATCTACAAGCAAGGAAACCAATTAGGTTTTAAGCTCAAAGCACCCCGACTAAATCGATCTTCAAGATGGATATAACAATTCATCTCTCAGAGATCAAATTCATGTATAATTGACTTGTAATATAATGCTAAATTAAGTTCTAATGAAGTAATTAATTAGTTATGAGTTAGTAGAAAAACAATATAGTTGTTCGTTGTGTATGTGATGAAATTTAATAGCTAACTCATTTATATAGTTTTTCTAGTCCTTTTATCTTGTAATCAATTTTTTTTAATCTAAAGTACTTGTCATGTTTGTCAAACTCCTTAAAATTGTAAAAACAAGGTGGTGCAAGTGTGTGTTTTGTGTTGTCGAACTTGAGACATGTGAAGGCGTGTGCATGTCATGCACACCCAAGATAAAATAGCTAGTACGAATACGTACAATTACATGTCATTAAGGAATTATAACATGTAATTACGATTTAAACATTTAGTTTCTTTTAGTATGGGGTCATTAGAAAAATGTCCTTACGAAAAATGTCCTTATTGAACCATTGCATAAGTATAAATTAGATAGATTTATCTCGCTATATAATGGATTAAAAATTAGCTATTTTAATATTTAAATTTACTCTATTTACAAAAAAAAAAAATGACTTGGTAAAAATCAATTACAATGCATAAGGTAATCATATTACTTTTTTTAATTTTATTTCTGAATATTTACTTTGTAATTCTAAGTTATAAATAAAAAATTGATTGATAATAATACCATAAATTAGGTTAGAAGTTACCCAAAAATCGCTATGTTACCCTACATATCTATCATTGACCGGTAAAATTACTGATCGCTAAAAAATTTGTATATTACATTTTACGAACATCCACTATTTTTCAAAAGCTGGAATTCTTTTATTTGCCAGAGTATCTATCTTATTGATGAATAGATAACTATGATCTTATGTAATTTAATTTAGGAAAATTCCATAACCAATTGATAAAAAATCAAAAATAAAATATTTAGAATAATTAAATACAAACTTCTCATGATTAATAATTGACATTGCAACCAAAACACAATCAATATTCGATCTTAATATGTTGATCAAGCTACCTCCTCTTATATAAACCAACCAATAATCTTCTCTTGCTCACATAAAAACTTTCCAACCTAACAACTAAACCCATAGGTAGTAACAATGTCAATGTCGATGAAGTGCCCGTCGTTCAAGTCCTCCGAATGCGTTAACTATACAATGTAGCATCAAATAACACCAACTCATCAAAGTCAAGCTTGACCATCTTGACTTTCTTGAGGAATATTATAACGACCATAACTCTTCTAAATAAGTAGTTGAGGCTAAGTTTTTGCAATATGAGTATGTCCCAAGAAATATGTGGTACTCTTGATATTTGATTATTCTTTGTAACGGTTTAGTTAACTAGGTTAGATTTAATTAGAGTTTAATATCATTATGTGTACGAAATAATATAATTAATACCCTCTTGGAATATCATTTGAAATTGTTCAATCTTATTGATTTTGTAATAAATCGTATGTAGTTTTTTAATTAATAAGGCTGCTTGTGACTTGTGAGGCCGAGATGGGTGCATCAGATCTTTCTCTGAAACTTGTTAATTACCTTTATTAATACAAAACCCTTAACTGTAAATTTTTTTCATTATTAATTGAAGGGACTATTGTTTATGTCTTGAAATTAAAAACTATAGTCAAAGTAGTGTTACTAGTTTATGTATATAAGTATATAATAGTGCAGAAATTCAAAACGCATCAACTAAATAAGAACGGATTTATTATACTACGTAATATATAATCGCTATTCTCAATTTAGCTAACTTTTACCCTATTATATAGCGAGATAAATCTATATCTAACCCTACAGTTGAAAAGTAAGTCAAAAGAAAAACTAGTTCATTCCTCGTAAAATCTATCTAATGTTCATGAAATGCCACATGACAAAATCTACAATGTCCAATAAAATTATCCTAAAGATTCTTTGACTTGAGAAAGAAGCAAAAGATTAACTTATAAACATGTGCCTTGTTAGGGTAAGAGTGCTAGCGGATCATAAACGTAATTAGTCAAGAAATTGACAATATATAAACGGCAAGAAAAAACTGTTAAGAAAATAACACACAACAAGCACTTGAAAAATAACAAGAATTCTAATTTATTAAGGTGAGAAATATTACAAATTTACTATATAACTCTCACAAATAAGAAACTCACTAGAAAGTATATTAAAAGGACTAGTGTAGAAAGGCTTTTAAGTATTTTGTGGTATGACAATATATTTGGGAATGACCAATTTTGTGGATGGGTTAAAAATGAGCCAAACCTCAACTATTTATACTTGTTGAGGTTGGTGGAATGTTGATGATATTTTAGGCAGAATTCTCTAGATTTGCTTATAATATTGTAAGTTGACCATCTTCTAGAAAAATCAAGAGAATTGTTGAGTGTTTGCACCAACATACTCTTTAGAAGCATGAAGAATGCTTTTGGGCTTCTCAAGGATTTAGGCCAGATGATACCCAACATGCCTAGTGCTCACTTCCAAGGACAAAATCTAAATCCCTTCAAATATTCGATAAAACTCTTATGAACTCAAAGAAGGGGCAAAGGTAGTCAAATTTATAGGTAAATATATCAACTTGCTTTTAAAATTAAGTAGATAATTTGTAGCACAAAAACTAACATAATTCACTAAAAATTATCGAAACGAACTGATTTAAATACACACAATGAAAAAAGACAAAGAATTAATATTTACAATAACTACTTAACAAAAATCTTTGTCCCACTTTTGATGTAGTATTACCTGTATGCCGCCACTCATTTGAATTGGTTCATTTTAATATTTTCATAAATTAATCAAATAAGGGTTTGGGCTTGAATAGTTGCGTGTACCAACAAGTAAGAACACAATTGTGGAACATAAAAAGTGGGACATAAGTTTTGGATTTCGCGATAAGGTAACAACTAACGTCTAGCCCTTTTGATATACGAGGAGTAAGCATTGCATGTTAGGAAACACATCTAATTGATGATCACAGCAAAGTCTTCGGACGTTCCTCTAGACGAACGATGATCAGCTTCCGTACTAGCACACGTCGAGTGAAAATCGTCGTCGTCACGGTCTCGTTCTCGTACCTCCTCTAGCCTTACACAAGCTTCCTTAATATCCAACCTCTTATCAACATTTCTTTCACAACATGCCATTCCAATGTTTAGTAATTTTTGCATTTCACCCTCACTATTTCTTGTTAGTCCCATATTATTGTCATATCCATCATTTATTACTGATCTTACCCAAATTGTCATATCAACTTCACTCCCTTGTTGTAAGTATGACGCCGGAAATTTGCCCGTCAACACTTCTATGATTAAGATACCAAGTGACCACACGTCGGTTTTCTTGGTGATGCGACCGTTGTTGAAATACTCGGGTGATTTGTAGGCTATCATCATTTCTTGCACGGTTTCTTGGTTAATGAGAGGGATTAATGCATAATCTCCGAGTAGAGGCTCATACGAGGCGTTTAGTAGAACATTTGATGACTTAAGGTGGCCATGAGGTGCAACTAAGCAAGCTAGCTCTTTGTATAGGTAGGAAAGACCCCTTGCTACTCCCTTGATTACCTTCAATCGTGTTGGCCAATCTAAGGTTGGTGTTCCTCGAGTTTGACCTACAATTTACATAGCAAATAAGTAAGAAAAAATTTAAAGGTTCAAAATTTATAAATTTTTGAGATTATTTAAAAGTTACATGAAAGTAAAGAAGTTATCTAAAAGTATACATTACCTCCTACTCCCTCCGTCCCTTTATTAAATGCCTATTATTTCTAACATTTATTACTCACATAATAAAGAGAAGTAGACATCTAATTAAGGGACGGAGGGAGTATTTAAAAAATAACTTTGACCTTTTAACAAAATTTCAATTTAAAACACATGACTCACAAGATTTATACATATCCTTATTACTTCTTTGAACCATACTTCTTTGTTTTACAAGCTAAGTATTCCTCTTTTATAATCCCACACTTTCCATTTCTCTATTTTAAATTTTTTTTTAAGCTACCTTAGACTATAATGAAAAGTATAGTAAATGTAATTAAGTACGTTTTTAAATAGAACGAGCTCATTACATCACATCATATCTATGGGGAAATAGTAGAAATTCAGGATTACCTTGTGAATATTTGAATCATCGAGATTACCTTTGCTTAATAAGTGTATGTACGTACTTAGTTACTCTAATTGGTAATTAGTTAGGTACTTATGACCTATTTGGTTAGTGATTGTAAATCATTGGAATGGTAACGAATTTCTGGGTAAATTTAAAAACAATAAATAAATATATGTCCTGTTAATGGATCTTCATCCCCATGCACGTGAATTTCTTCATGAATTTTCAGTACCATTCAATACCACCTTACAAATGATAATGAATGGTAATGAAAGTTTATGAAGAAATGGTATATTGTATATGGATGACCTCACAATAGGCTCACATCACCATTGGTAATGACGAACAATTTTTTCCACAAATTTACACACAATTTCATTACCATTCCCACGATTTATAATGTCTACTACACCAATATGATGTTAGGGTTGTGCATGGATCGGATAGACAAAAGAAAGACGTACCATGAAGGAGGAGAGCAAGGCTACCCTTTTGAACAGGATCACTAACAAAGAGTTTCTCTTCTTTTCTATAATAATAAGCCACAAGAGGAAGTAAATTAGGGTGTGACAACCTCCCTAATCTTCTCATATGTTCTTGAAATTCTTCTCTTCCAACATTATTCATTTGCTTAAACCTCTTCACAACAACCGAATTTCCATTATTCAACGTCGCCTTATACGAAGATCCAAAGCTCCCACTTCCTAATATTTCAGCTGAAGCTTTTAGTAAATCTGACAACTCAAATTTCTCCCTATCATCCCTTACAAATGTTAATTTCCCAACATTTTCGCCGCTTTTATTGTTTCGGCCTACACCACCACCTACAATGTTTGTGCTTCTATTAGGGCCTTCTTCTTCGCCGTGTTCCACCATGGCTTTCTTTGGTAAATTCGACGTTGAAGAAGGCATGTTGTTGTTATTGTTGTTATTGTTGATGTTGTTGTTGTTCTTCTTCCTGGATCGATTATTGCGAATGACAATTAAAATGATTAAAATTGCTAAAAGAATTGCCATTCCTACTCCAACTGCTATGATTGCTATTGGCACTGGTTTATCTGATGATTTCGCCGGTGATGGTTGTGCGGTATTTATCTTCCGGTCAGAGGACGACGACGACGACGACGGTGGGCATGCATTTAGAGGCGGTCCACATAAATCTTTGTTGCCTGATCAAAAATCCGAAATTTGATTTTATGTAAATATATTTATGATATGATAGATGATGGAAATATATGTTTCATATATATTATTGAATTTGTATATAAATTATGAAAACTATTTTGTACAAATTATTATTGTCCATGGTAAAATCATCAACTCAACTCTGTTGATACTAAGTGTTCTAGTATAGAGACAAGGAAAAAATTATTATGTTACACTTTGTGCTTAATTTGTACCCAATTTTCCATCATGAAATTACATTGAGACATTATTAATAGGAACACCAATCAACCTTATTACGCGTAAATATGATTTAAAAAGATAATAGATAGACAAAAATTCGATTAGGTTAGACACTATTTTTCTAGAAAGAAAATTAATTGTATTTCATGTGATTATAAATAAAATGTACATGTAAACGTATTAATTAGTATGCATATAAGTTAATTCTTGAGAATCTGATGTCTAAATTAAATTTCAAACTAAAATCCCAAATCTCTGTAATTCTTATTGTTTAATGTTTTCAATGTAAATATAATATGACATGTCGTACGATTTTTTTTTATACATATAAAAATTTCACACACACACATCATGTGTTCATATAATAGAATTATTACTATTCACAAAATATAAATATATATATATATATAGAACTATTATCTTATTAAAAACAACGATTGTACGTTTGTATATGAAATAAAGAATAAAATATACCTGAAAAGGCACTTGGATCAAATCTGGAAAGGTTAGTAGGAACAGGACCTTGTAATTGATTATTCGAAACATTAAAAACTTGAAGAGTTTGTGTTGATTTAAGATCTGGAATATTTCCTTGAAATTGGTTACCCTGAAGAGTTACCTCCACAAGTTTTTGTAATGTTGCCAAAGAATTAGGAATTTCGCCACTAAATTTGTTAAATGATAAATGAATTTTCCTTAAACGTCTTATCCCTTCAAATGCATTAGGAGGAATAACACCTTCAAAGTTGTTATATGACAAAAATAATGCTTTCAACATTCTTAGCTTCCTAAAATCAGGCAATTCACCACTAAAATTATTGTGCATAAGGCTTATGGACCGTAATTTTGATAATTTGACAAGGGAATCAATGTCGATGGATCCGGATAATCCCATGTTTTCGAGCCTTAACCCCCAAATATTACCAGCTCGCGAGCAAATGATACCAACCCAATTATTCCTGTTCTCAAAACATGGAGATGTAGAGAGATCCCAACTCGAAAGAGCATTAGACTCGTCCTTTAGGGTTTTCTTGAACGTTAGTAGGGCATTTGCATCGTCTGATGAGGAAGACGCGCTATAAGAAATGGCAATGTGGAGGAAGATAATGAACAAGAAAAAAAGAGAATGGCGCAGTTGGTTTTGCATAGAAGCCATATGATCATGTAGATTGTGGTGTGTAAAGGGCAGATGATACCGCCCTTTACAAGAAGGATAGTGATTGAAATGTGTGACCTAGACCTCTCTTCATAAAGAGAAAGGTCAAAGGCAAAAACAATAATTTTGATGGCATAAGGGAAGAACACAAAGAAGGGGATGAAAGGGGAGAGAGAAAGATGAAAAAACAAAAAGAGGCTAAGAATAGAAGATATTAGCAATAAAATTGAAAATTGAGGAAGATAAGGAATTGGAAATATGGTAATGGTAGAGGATTAGTGTTTTTCTTTGTTTTTTCCATGAATATTGTGTATGTAGTTGTGTTACTTGAGATATATCCGGTTAGCCTTTCAATTAGACAAGGATTTACAGTTACAATTTTTTGCTATTTATGAGCAACACTTTTCCTCTTTTTTGTTTTTGACAAAGCAATTTTTCTTTTCAATTTGATGATATCTCTTTTATAGTTTGACATGATTTTTTTTTTCTTTTAAAACTAATAATATCATTCTATTAATTGAAAGGCATATTACATCTACAATAGAAATCATTATCTAGCAAATACTTTCTCAGATTCAATAAATTTCACTTTTATCAAACTACGATGGTTAATGACAATTTTCCATGCTTTCTTCATGTCATCATTTTACACGTTTTTATATAAGTATATAATTCGTATACAATTCTAAAAATAAAACTAACAACACTTTAGATTGAGCCCTAACCAATAATATTTTTTTTAAAAAAAAAACAATGTGTTTTTTTTTTAAATTCATGCATCATACAAGCTTAATTAAATTCTTAAAACTAGCCTAATATGAAGGGAGGAACTTTCGCATATATAATGCATGCCACATAAGGGTGTCGTGTCCAGAATTTCGAAAATATTTAAAAAAAATTCTGGAAGACAAAAATATATTTAAAATAATTAAAAAATTATTTTTAATTAAAATTACTAATTAAATATAAATCAAAAAACAAATAATCCCAACCTTCCATTTTAAAAAATTATGGTAGTCAAAAGTCATAAGACTACATTAGAATCATCTCTTGTTTCAATGAAAATAAATACTACAATTTAACTAGCTAGGCAAGCATGTAAATAGAGAATTTTGGCCAATAATATTTTATATATTAATAAGTACTCCGTATAAATTATAAAAAGACCATTGTAAGAAGTACTTACATGATTATATTTTTCCTTACGTATAAATTACTAACATTGGTTAAATTGAAGTATGCAAAAAGTCAAAAATGGGATTTTATTATGAAACAGATGAAGTAAAGTTTTGTTTCAATAAGAATAGAAAAACTTTTTCAAGAGCATGAAGTTTTCCACCTAAGCATGCCATGTAATTGTCTAAAAGATATAATTACGTATAAATAGTGTTTATCTCTACCTTTTTAAAAGTATGAGTAAACTCCTATAAATAGTGTTGAAAAGATTATGCCCCTTAAAATGTTTATTTATGTATTTACCTCTTTTAAAAGTATGGCCACACTTTTATGAATAGTGTTGAGACAATTATGTCCTTATAATGTTTATTCACACATTTGTCGTCATTAAAATCAATTGTTATTTTTTTGGGAACTCTTAAGAAATAGTGTGTGGACATTTATACCCCCTAAAAATAATTGTCTACATATTTTCCCTTATTAACACTACTAACAACTAAATTTAAAACATAACGCCAAACCGAAAAAAACTTTGCGGATATGGCTAGCTATGATGCGCGCATCGCCCGTGTTAGCCGCCCTAGTTTTGATAAAATTTAAAATACATAAATAAACTTAATAATGATACCTAGAAGAGAGTGAGGGATAGCTCAAGTGGTTAAAACTTGCCTCCCGATTTCAGGAGATCCTGGAATCGATTCTCACCCCTGCCCTTGTGACTCTCTAAACACCAAAAAAATAATGATAGCTAGAAACATTACACTATGCACTAAGACTTAAATTTCGCAATGATGACATGGCATATATCTTACCAGATTTGAGACCTAACAAAAAATTGAGTAGGATTGATCAATTGAGTAGGTTAATGGTAGATATAGAGACTTATTGCTTGTTTGGTTGAATGTAGGAAGTGCTAATTCCTTGAAAATTTTTATTTCCATGTAATTGTATTTCCTAACAAAAGGCTAAATATTATTTGGTTAATCATGGGAATACTCACTTACGTTACTGGGTAATTTAGTTCTTCTAATCCATTTTCCGAGAAGTGAAATTTTCTCTCGGTTTCTACTTTTCATGGATTTGTCAACTAAATACCACAAAAAAATTCTAGTTCCTAGGAATTATATCTTCTTATTATATTTTGTATTTCAACAAAACAACACCTTAAATAATGCAGTCTCTATTTTCAAATATTAAAGACTCAATAACAATTAGACTTCATCTCTATTGTTTGGTTCAAAAACTTTATTTATTAGGGTAACTTTAACCTGACTTTTGGAGAGCTTATAATAAATTATAACATGTATGACGATTTATTTTGTACATTTTAAGTGATTTTTACAAGATAAATTTCTTGTAAATTAGCAACTTTATACTCAAATGTACAACAATTATATTAAACCTGCTTTATTTATAACTTTGTCTATGTTGTATATTAAAAAACATCTCTTTTACTAGTAAGGTAAGATCACTAATACAATTACAATAAGGATCTTTATTTTTGTGGATGCCCAACTTTTATAACTTTGTCTCTTCAAAAAAACCCTAAAATTTTCTCTGTCCTCTCTCTTAAAACCTAGGCACCATAATAAAATTGAGGGGCTACCATCGATTTTTATCGATGGTAAGTCCCAAATTTTCTTTAGTTTAATGTTTATAGCCAATAAAGTTCACCAACGGTATGGTGATTATAGTCAGTCCCTCCATGTAGGGTTTAGTCAATCCTTTTAGTAGGATTTAGTATTGTTCGTTTGTTTGTTTTTACTGTGTGCAGAGATACAAATTTGGAAGATTCATCTTGTAAATTTGTGGAATTGCGGGTCTGTTGGTATAGGGGTGCAGATTTAGAAGATTCGTCTTACAAATTTGCAGATCTTGATGACCAATCAAGTTTTATCACTTTTGCGACTATACATCAATGGAGTTCTGTTAAGAATGATGATTAGGGGATTTTTATCCACCAATCACCGTCTGACAAGTGGACCAACCAGGTTCCGCCACGTGTCCTTCACGAAGGACAACAGGAGCCTGCCACGTGTCAATCACAGATACGTCCTCTACGGACCACTTTAGACACGCCACGTGTCCACCCATGCCAAATGGGAAAACCGGCCATCAAGGCCCAATCCAGTCTAGAGGCCCGATCAGCCCTAGGTTTACCCTAAACCTAAAGAGGTGGCACGCTTCTCAAGGCTATAAATACTTAATTAATCCTCATTAATCACACGATCGAATAATCAAGAAATCAAGCAGAGAAGAACAGAGTTATTAACAACCGGCTAATCTCGCTAACGACGCAGATTACCAACACTAAGCACTCTCACCTAGAGAGATCTCATTACTTTAATTTCTGTATTAACTACTCCTTAATCAGGTACTAACTTGACCGTTGGAGGCGGAGCTCTCAGGAGTCTCCGTTATTTTGCAGGTACAGGCGTCCGGTTCCAGTCTCGGAATTGTAACTCTCCCGCAGGACATCAGAAAACCCCGAAACATTTGGCGCCGTCTGTGGGGAGAGTACTTCAGAGATGGCATCCAAGTCTGTACCTACTCCAGAAGAGAGGCGTCCCCTAGACGACCCTCAAGTTCAGTCGGACCATGATACCGAAAGTGAATTTGAAGTTGAAACTCATACAGCTCCAGACGGGACCCTAAGGGCCCGACGTACCCGTCATACCGAAAGGAGGGAACGGGAGCATCTTCAAACAGGAAGCGAGCCAGCAGGCGCACCGCTTGCTCGGCAACAGCCGACTGATGGGTCTGCTCCCATCACAAGGAACGAACTCATGACCTTCATGAGGGACTTCAAGGGAGAGATTCAAGAGTTGATCAACAAAAAACCGCCTGCTTCAGTCAAAGAGCAGTCGGCCAAGAAACCTTCCACTTCACTGAAGAGGAAGCCAGTTCAAGGGCGAGAGGCGACTCCCCATCCTAAATCCAAGAAGCGGGAGCCACCTGCTCTTGATTTCACAAAACTCCGTTATCCTACGGGAAATAGGAAACCGGTTCGTCATATTCAGGCGGATGGGTCAAAGCAAACGTTCACAGATGCTCGGCACCTGCTAGAGCAGAAGAAGAGTGATCGATTATCAGAGTCGGCTTCTACTTCAAATTTTCAGGACAGTTTGCGAAATGCCTCGATGAGGCATACTCAGTCGTACCATGAGAGTCAGTCAGGCGGCACCTCCCGTCAGTCCGGCTTTCATAGTGCCCAGGCGGTACCAAACTTACCATTTGTGCCGCAACAACAGTATTTTATGCAGCCACCTCCATTTGGTGGACCTGCAGCAAAAAACGTCCAACCTATGGACTGGCAGCTACGGCTGCTTAGACTTGGTGAACAGCCGTCGGCCTTCTCCAAGGAAATTACTGAAGCCGCTCAGCCGGCCAAAGTAAAAAATGTTTTAGTAGGCGCCTATGACGGCACTACTAACCCAGAAGACCATCTGATGGCATTCACCAACCTGATGTACCTTCAAGGGTTGGATGATCCCACTTGGTGCAAGTGTTTCCCAGCGACTCTCAAGGGAATTGCACAGCAATGGTTCGGCAACCTGCCGACTGGTTGTGTAAACAACTTCAGGACGCTTGCTTACTTATTTGCCTCCAACTTCGCTATGAACATCCCTGCGAAGAAAACGACCCTTGATTTGGGAACAATTCAGCAGGGCGAGAAGGAGGGGCTTCGTTCTTACATCAGGCGGTTCAACCTGATGAGAATACAGATTCAAGGGTTACCGGATGAGGTAGCTTATACTGACTTTTTTAGAGGTCTCAAAGACGGGTCTACCTTTAAATTTGATTTAGTTCGAAAAAGGGTGGCGACTCTTCAAGAGGCCTTGATTGAAGCAGAAGCCTATATACAGGCGACTGATCTGTGTACGATAAAACAGTCGGACGGGAAAAGGTTCGACAAAAGAGAAGGACGACAGAAACAGTCGTCTAACAAAGATGAGAAAAGAAAAGAGGTCTGGGCGGCTGATTCCTCTAAACAGCCGGCCCAGAAAAAGAAAAAAGAATTCAAACCATACTCCCCAAAGTATGTGTTTAACAAGGATAACCAGTTTATCCTAAAAGAAATAAAGGGACGGCTCTCAATTGAGAAGCCGCTCCCCATGAAGGGTTCTGCGAGCAACCGGAACCAAGACAAAATCTGTGCTTATCATGATGACGTTGGTCATCACACCAATGACTGCATCAGTCTCATGCGGTACCTAGACCGCTTGGCTGATCAAGGTGATCTTGACACTTATGTCAAGAAATCTACGGGGAACACTTCCTCTAAAAAGCAGTCGGCCAAAAAGAATCAACAGGCCGACAGTTCCGATACAGATGATGCAGTCGTCTACACCATTGCAGGCGGCTTCTCAGGAGGCGGCCCCACTATTAGGGGCAACAAAGATAATATAAGGCGGTTAGATGTAAATTCCGTTCACCAGGAACAGCCGTCCAAATATACATTTCCTGAGATTGTCATCACTGAAGAGGATCTAGGAGGAATAAGGGGGCCGCATGACGACCCTCTCGTTATTGAATGTAAAGTGGCCAACCAGAGAG